CATACTCAACGGGTTAAACATCATACTCAAAGTGTTAAAACATCATACTCAACGGGTTAAAACAAACATCATACTCAAAGGGTTAAAACATCATACTCAAAGGGTTAAAACATCGTACTCAAAGGGTTAAAACATCATACTCAACGGGTTAAAACATCGTACTCAAAGGGTTAAAACATCATACTCAACGGGTTAAAACACAGGTACCATACAGACACAAGATATAATCACACTTGATAGAAAATACAACTAGAACGGATGAATAAAAAGTGAATGTAAGATAACAAGAGATAACAAGAGTGAGAAAGAGAGATGAAATTGAGATAACAAGAGATAACAAGAGTGAGAAGAGATAGAATGTGAGATAACAAGAGTGAGAAGAGATAGAATGTGAGATAAGAAGCAGAAGAAAGAAAGAAGAAACTAATGAGGAATATAATAAGAGACAAGAACCTGATAAATACATAATGAGAATGGATGAATAAGAGAGAATGTGAATAAATAAGATGAATAAGACAGAATGTGAATAAATAGATGGAAATTAAAACCAGAAAGGAAGTAAAATATAATAAGAATAGAGGAAACGACAGATCACACGGACATACATACATACATACATACATACATACATACATACATACATACATACATACATACATACACCTCATACACACACAAGCACACCTTCGAGGACGACCTGTATCCTATGCCAATAATCATGTGTAACGGAAGATTGGGCACTCCACCCTCTACACAAATACCTACCCCTCCCTCCTCCTCTCCACCCCCACCAATACTCCTCACCTCACCAACACCTCACTATCACCACCTACCCATCACCTCCAACACACCCCACCAACCCCCGCCTCCAACCCCACCAACACCGTCCACCACACTCACCCTCCTCCCCCTCCAACCCCCCTTTTGGGAAGAACGAGGACAACTACAACATACATCTTGTTTCCACTCATGAATCCTTCCTCCTCCCCCCCTCTCTCTCTCTATATATATATTTACAGTAAGCTAAACCGGATGAAGTTTTATGTGGTAAGAGCTTTATTTCAGGTTTATGTCACATACAGTAAGCTTAGGTTAGTCAGTTAGATACGTCCTCACATCAGAGTCAAAACTTACGTAAAAAATCTCCGAGATTCTGTATCATACCTTAAGTCAGCCCAGATATGCTCTCACATTACCAGTTACGGGAAAGAAATTACATACAGTCCTCCTTCACTTCGTAAGTATAGGCTCGCATGTTGTGTGCAGTGTCGTAACCTTGTGTTTGTTTACATAGACAGAAGGAAAATTACAATAGTAAACATAATAAGGAATCAGTAAAACAATATTAAAACAAACATCTCAATGTAATGATCTGTGGAATGTTTATATGACGAGCCCCTGTAAACGCGCTAGTGAAGGGGACTGTACCATACTTAGCAGATAGATACGTGTTGTGTTGTGTTGTGGTGTTGTATTGTGTAGTGCTGTTGTATTATGTGTTGTGTTGAGTTCTGTTGTGTCATGCTGTGTTGTGTTGTATGGTGTTGTGTTGTATGGTGTTGTGTTGCGTTGTATACTGATGGGTGAGGTGACAAGTAGGGATGGTTCAAAGGAGTGGTGGTAGACCCGGTGTTATTATATACAAATGAAGGTCTTACACTTGCACAATAGTTTAGAACGTGTGTGTGTGTGTGTGTGTGTGTGATGTAGTTCTTTATACATATGTGTGTACTTATAGTTTGCACACACACACACACACACACACACACTAACCCACTGGATTACTGGATTCCCAAAACCTCTTGCATCAATATTTCCTTCGACATCACATAATCAGGACGCCCGATTGTCCCTACAACTTAAACGGGTCAAGGGTGGTAGTTTAACCCTTTAACGATGATAGGAGGGTAAAACATAGTCCTTAAAGGGTTAAATCATCGTCCTCAAAGGGTTAAATCATCGTTCTCAAAGGGTTAAATCATCGTCCTGAAAAGGTTCAATGGAGTAGAATTTGCACTGAAGGGAAGAGGAGAAAGGAGAGGAAGGGAGGAAAGGGAGGGGGGGGGAGAGGAAAGGAAGGGAGCGGAGGAGAGGAAAGGAGGGGAGCGGAGGGGAGAGGAAAGGAAGGGAGCGGAGGAGGAGGAGGGGAGCGGAGGAGAGGAAGGTGAAGAAGGGGAGAGGAGGAGAGAGAAGGAGCCAACACACAGTGATCACATACGGAGGGAGGAGAGAGAGAAACAGAAAGGGAGAAGGGAGAGAGGAGGAAGGTGAAGGGGGGAGACGGGAGGGGAGGAAGGGAGCTAGTACACGGTGATCACAGAGATAATGGATCACATCCTGCTATTGCGTCAATGTCTCTACAGAGTGGCCACCTACTACACCTCCTGCAGCAGTGGATATGAAGAGAGAGAGAGAGAGAGAGAGAGAGAGAGAGAGAGGGGTGTGTAAGAGTGTGTGAATATTTCAGGTAAGCTTAGCATCTGACACACACACACACACACACCACTCTCCTCACGCCCCTATATCCACCACCCACACACACCGGGGGAAAAATGAAAGTGTGTGAGACGAGACAAAACTAAAAGGAGGGAGGCCCTACCCACATTTCACCTACTGGAGGGGGAGGGTGAGGAGGGAGGAGGGGTGAGAGGAAGGGGAGGGTGATGGGGGAGGTCAGAGAGGTCATGAGTGTTACGACATAAGGCATCAATGGGGTGGGGTGAGGTGGTGGGGAGGGAGAGGGGATAGGGAGGGGGGGGGGTGCTGCATGTTGCAAGGAATCTCAGATTACTGTGCCAAAGGGCTCTCTCTCCAGACAAAAATTCAAGGGTGGCTGCATCCGAAAATCGTCATGACTGCGTAACCAACACACACACACACACACACACACACACACACACACACACACACACACACACACACACACACACACACACACACACACACACACACACACACACACACACACACACACACACACACACACACACACACACACACACACACACACACACACACACACACACACACACCAACACACAGGTATGATAACAGCGTAAGATCACCTAGATAATAAAACACAATATACAAAATATCCTCCCTGCCTGTCTCCTCCTCCTGTCTCCTCCCTGCCTGTCTCCCTCCCCTGCTGTCTCTCTCTCCTGTCTCCCCAGCCTGTCTCCCTCCCTGCCTGTCTCCTTCCTTCCCCAGCCCACCTCTGCCTGCCCCTGACACCCTGAGCGGAAGGAGCAGACAGGAGGTAAGGAGGGAGGGAGGGAGCAGGAGGGGAAGGACAGACAGAGGGGAGCAGGAGGGAGGGGAGGGGAGGGAGCAGACAGGGGGAGGGAGCAGGGGAGGGTGTGAAGGGACAGGGGAGGGGGAAGGAGCAGGAGGAGGGAAGGGAGCAGGAGGAAGCAGCAGACGGAGGAAGGCAGCAGAGAAGGGAGGGGCAACAGACAGGAGGGAAGCAGCAGACAGGGAGGGAAGCAGCAGACAGGGGAGGGAAGCAGCAGACAGGAGGGAAGCAGCAGACAGGGAGGGAAGCAGCAGACAGGAGGAAGCAGCAGACAGGAGGGAAGCAGCAGACAGGGAGGAAGCAGCACAGGGGAGGGAAGCAGACAGGGAGGAAAGCAGCAGACAGGAGGGAAGGGCAGACAGGGAGGGAAGAGCAGACAGAGGGAAGACAGACAGGGGGAAGCAGCAGACAGGGGAGGGAAGCAGCAGACAGAGGGAAGAGCAGACAGAGGCAGCAGACAGGAGGGAAGCAGCAGACAGGGAGGGACAGCAGACAGGGGAGGAAGCAGCAGACAGGGAGGGAAGCAGCAGACAGGGAGGGAAGCAGCAGACAGGGAGGGAAGCAGGCAGACGGGAGGAAAGCAGCAGACAGGAGGAAGCAGCAGACAGGAGGACAGCAGACAGGGAGGGAAAAGGCAAGACAGGGAGGGAAGCAGCAGACAGGAGGAAGCAAGGCAGAGGGAGGAAGCAGACAGGGAGGAAGCAGCAGACAGGAGATAGGACATTTTCCTTACACCCTATAATTATTACTGGTTACATTGTATGTTAATATACGGTATATCATGTTCAATCAGTATTCAAGTTCAGCTTAGTATAGTATTTGTTCAGCTTAGTATAGGAGTGTCAGCTTAGTATAGTGAGGTTCGGCTTGGTATAGTGAGTGCAGCTTAGCATAGTGAGGTTCCAGCTTAGCATAGTGAGGGTTCAGCTTAGTATAGTAGAGTGTTCGCTTAGTATAGTGAGTGTTCAGCTTAGTATAGTGAGTGTTCGGCTTAGTATAGGAGAGTGTTCAGCTTAGTATAGTGAGTGTTCAGCTTAGTATAGTGAGTGTTCAGCTTAGTATAGTGAGTGTTCAGCTAGTATAGTGAGTGTTCAGCTTAGCATAGTGAATGTTCAGATTAGTATAGCGAGTGTTCGCAGTTTAGCATAGTGAATGTTCAGCTTAACATAGTGAATGTTCAGCTTAGCATAGTGAATGTTCAGCTTAGCATAGTGAGTTCAGCTTAGGTAGTGAGTGTTCAGCTTAGTATAGTGAGTGTTCAGCTTAAACATACCCACACCCAAGGCTCAGTGTACCGAGTGTAGAACGGTAAGTACACAGTGTAGCAATAGAACCAGGGTGTAGTTGACCTTGTATAAGACTCCATGGTGATATATTATGCTCCACGTGTTATTATGCTCCAGGTGTTATGCTCACCTCCTGGCTTAGCTTGGCTTTCACTTTTTACAGCTATTTATATGTTTGTTTCTATGTCAGTTTAGTATTTATTTGTTTTGTGTTTGTAATGTCGTTTTGTTATTAAGATAGAGGAGATAAGGGGGGTGTGTGTGTGTGTGTGTGTGTGTGTGGGGTTGTGTGTGTGTGTGTGTGTGGGTGTGTGTGTGTGTGTCAATGTCCCCCTATCACCTTAATCTAACCTACCTAAACACTGCACTTTCCTGTAATTAAGACACAGGCACTAATTACACCCCCCCTCTACTTACAGGTGACACCTTGCACCTGTACAAAGTTTCACTAGCGGACAATGAACCGATAGAAAACGCCTAAGAAAATGGTAAGTGAAAATAAATTGTTTTACTAAAATTGTAATTAATATAAAATTACTATGATTTTAGGTACATATTTTCAGAGTGGATTTAAAGCTGAAACACACACACACACACACACACACACACACACACATCAACCTCTGACATTGTCCCAAATTTCCCTTCCATTACTCTAGGTCCGAACACACTCCAGGTTGTAGATTCCACGAAGCTCCTCGGCGTCACCATAGACAACAAATCCACTGGAAACCACACGTCAGTGAAGTTGTCAAACTTCAGTTTGCCCCACCTCCCTCCGCCGACTCAAGTCCTCGGAGTTCTGCACGAGCTCTCAGTGCGTTTACACATTCATACTTCCCAAGCTCACCCATGCCTCCCCCACCTGGTCTTCCTCCCTAAATGCCACACAACGTAAACACCTAGAAAAAGTGCAAAAGAGGGCATGCAAGATTATTCTCTCCCCTTCCTACTCCACATATCAAGAAGCGCTCAACACACTGACCCTTTCGACTCTCACTGACCATCACCACGGCCTCATCTGCAAATTTGGTAAGAAGCTTCTACACCATCCCCGACACCGGCCCCTACTACCACCTGAGATCCCCTGTCCGAGAATTGCTGTTCGACACCACAACCGCATCCAGCCCATACGTGCACGAACTGATCGCTATAAGAACAGCCCAGTCCCAACCATTGTAAAGATTATCAATAACATGTAATAAATCAGTGTATTCACTCCCAGTAAACACTGCTCCCTACACTGTCACTATGTTGAAATGAACTGTATTTTGAGCTGATCCCCATCTAAGTTACTATATGTCTTATTTGTGTCACTTTTTGTTACTTGTATATTATTTGCAATTCGTAACCCATTCCCCAAATATGTAAATCAGATATTTTCAGCCTTCTGTCACAAGCTCTTTCAATAAACCGTTAACACATACACATATTATTATTACATATATTATTATTACACACACACACACACACACACTTAACTGGTCAAGAATCTAGGGGTCTGGTCAACTAGGCAGACAGACCCCGAGCCTAATAGCCCTGTCCTATTGGGGCCCAAACCTAACCATTACACCATTACAGTAATAACCTTCTCTGAGCCAGTCCATATGGTTAGGTTATTAGGACTGAAACCCCCCCATTATAACCTGCCGGTCAAACAGCGCCTTAAATTCTCGAGGGTTTGAGAGTTAAAATAATCCCCGATTGGAAATTAGAGAGATGAGGGTTGCCATGTGGAGTAGACTTTACACTGAGACTCTAGCTTATCTTCAACTACTTGGTTCACTTAAGTTGCGACACTAACAACGTGTAACAAGGAGGGAGGGAGGGAGGGTGAGAGGGCAGTGTAACAAAGAGGGAGGGAGGGGAGGAGGGTGGGAGGGAAAGATAGAGGGAGAGAGGCAGGTAACAAGGAAGGAAGGAGAGAGGGAGGGTAGTGCTGAGGGTGAGAGGGCAGGTAACAAGGGAGGGGAGGGAGAGAGGGGAGGGTAGTAAGGGAGGGTGAGAGGCAGTGTAACAAGGAGGGAAGGAGAGAGGGAGGGTAGTAAGGAGGGTGAGAGAGCAGTGTAACAAGGAGGGAGGGAGGGAGGGTAGCAAGGAGGGTGGAGAGGTGGTGTAACAAGGAGGAGGGTGGGAGGGTAGCAAGGAGGGGTGGGGAGGGCAGGTAACAAGGGGAGGGTGAGGGTAGTAAGGAGGAGGCAGTGTAACAAGGAAGGAAGGAGAGAGGGAGGGTAGCAAGGAGGGTGGAGAGGGCAGTGTAACAAGGAGGGAGGGAGGGTAGGCAAGGGAGGGTGAGGAGGGCAGGTAACAAGGAGGGAAGGAGAGAGGGAGGGTAGCATAGAGGGGTGAGAGGGCAGTGTAACAAGGAGGGAGGGAGGGAGGGTAGCAAGGAGGGTGAGAGGGCAGTGTAACAAAGAGGGAGGGAGAGAAATAAAGAGGGAGGGAGGGAGAGAGGGAGGGTAGCAAGGAGGGAGGGAGAGAGGAAAGGGGAACAGAAATCACCCTGTCATGCTAGGGTGAAAGAAGCGATTTACCCTAAATAAACGAGCGGGTTACTTCACCTCATTGTCCCACGGGATAGGCTGTCACACTTCATTCTCCCCGCTTCCCTCCCCCTCCCCCTACCCTCCCCACCCTCTCTTTACGCCCCTTTAACTACCTCCCTCCCCTACCTCCATTCCCTAACCTAAACGAAAGCTTTTTTTTTCTCCTAGTACTGTCGTTTTTCAGATCCCAATGGGGGTTTATATAGAGTGACGCGTTCTATTTAATGGGACTATATCGAGCAGAAAATCCCACCCCACACACCCACATCCTCCCACACCCATCCCCCACCTCACAAAAAATAACCCATCCCAATACCACTAAGCCACTGTAACCCATCCCAATCACCTCATGGGTTGTTAGTCTACAGCTATGGGGTCATTGGGGAGTAATTAAAGTATGTTGCCCATTGTTAGCACACGAGATGGGGAGGAGAATGGGTCGGGAAATGGGTTTGGTGAGAGAGGGTGGTGGTAACCAGCCCTCTCTCTCTCCTTGGTGTGATTCTTCTCTCCCTTTCTCCCTTATATGACTCTACTCTCCCTTTTTTCTCTTGTTATTCTTCTACCTCCCTTTCTCCCTTGTGACTATCCTCTCCCTTCAGCGACACTCTCCTCCCATGTCTTAGCTTTTGCAATAACAGACCAAGTTCCACCTCCCTGTACACCAAGTTCCACCCCAATGTACACCAAGTTCCACCTCCCTGTACACCAAGTTCCACCCACCCCACTGTACACCAAGTTCCACCCCACTGTACACCAAGTTCCACCTTACACAAACCATCAAACAATTCACACATCATCTTGCCATAAACGACCAAAATAATCCACCAATTACCACCAGGTTAACTAACAGGTGTACGACAGACCCTCATACTACCCAAGTCATGCTCAGTGTTTACAAAAGCTCATACACACAGACTTTTAACTTTGACGTCATTGAGAGAGAGAGAGAGAAAAAAAAAACTCACTACACAACAAAAAACACAAATAAATAAAACAAATCACCAAAAAATCCGAACATTTAAAAAAAAAAATCATTTAACGTAACCAAAGCCAAGACTCCAGGAAGAGATACGAACACGGTGTTGCAAGTTCATGTAAACAACAGTTAAGTCTATCAGCTGACTGTACCGTGCCCATCCTCCCACACACCTGTTGATGGGCACTACCACCCCAGGGCCACACACACACACACACAAAGCACACACGCACACACACACACATACACATTTAAGTGACACAAAAATTGAACCTAATTAGATAAACGCACACCATACCCGCATAAGAGTGGATTTTGCTTTTTGTTATCTCTGGTATGTATGTATGTATGTATGTGTGTGTGTGTGTGTGTGTGTGTGTATGTGTGTGTGTACAGCCAGGTAAATGAACTTGGTGTTGTGACTGGCTTAATGATCACCTGTGTTGACAAGCCATCACCATCCACACAACTTTTAATGGACGGAGTGTGGCTCTCTCTCTCTCTCGACTCAAGAATAACAACAATGGCGGCCTGGGAACTTTCACCAAAATGTCGATGAATTTATCGCCAAGTCGTTCGCCAACAGGGGTAGATAATCGCCAAGTCGTTCGCCAAATGGGAAGGGACGAGAGAGGGGGGGAGAGACAGAAAAAATATTGCGTCTGTGTCTCTGTCTGTCTGTCTATGTCTGTCAGTCTGTCTGTGTCCGCCTGTCTGTCTGCCTGTGTCTGTCTGTCTGAGGTAGGTATCAAGATCTAGACCTTTAGACTCGATCCTGTGTGTGTAAGTGTGTGTGTGTGTGTGTGTGTGTGTAAATGTGTGTGTGTAAATGTATGTGTGTGTGTGTGTGTGTGTGTGTAAATGTGTGTGTGTAAATGTATGTGTGTGTGTGTGTGTGTGTGTGTGTGTAAATGTGTGTGTGTGTGTGTAGAACATAAGTGAAGAAAAGTGCTTGTAACGACCCAATTTACCCTTAACTACCATCAAGGCTATCCACCCTCCTTCAGGCTCTTGTAATTTCTAACATATATACGTTCCTTCAGACAAACGTTCCTTCAGGCTATAATCAGACAAACGTTCCTTCAGGCTAGACGTTCTTTGTGGCTATAATTTTATCCCAATACGTTCTTTTAGCTTTCCCACTGTACGTTCTTGACAATAGCTATGGTACGTTCCTCAGAGTCTGTATCAACCAATATACGTTCTTGACAATAGCTATGGTACGTTCCTAAGTCATAATCTTACCTCTGTACGTTCTTGATGTGTACGTTCCTTGGTGTCTGTACTTAACTCTGTACGTTCTTTAAGGTGGTAACATAACGCTCTGGGGGTTGTTCACTATCACCAAATGTCAGCTGCTATTGTGACGTCACGTGTGGACCTTGAGGGAGTCTCAGGTGGTGGGGGGAAGAGTCTTTGGTGGGGAGGCTGGTGGGGGGGAAGATTTTGGTGGGGGGGGAAGAGTCTCCTTTGGTGGGGGGGAAGAGTCTTGGTGGGGGGAAGGAGTCTTTGGTGGGGGGAAATATCTTTGGTGGGGGGGAAGAGTCTTTGGTGGGGGAAGAGTCTTTGGTGGGGGAAGAGTCTGGTGGGGGGAAGAGTCTTAGGGTGGGGAAGAGGTGGGGAGCCCTTTGGTGGGGGAGTCTTTGGTGGGGGGGAGTCTGGTGGGGGGAGTCTTTGGTGGGGGGAGGAGAGTCTCAGTTGGTAATGGTGGTGAGTCTCAGGTAGAGGAGGGGGGGATTGGTGGGGGGAGTCTTAAGTGGTAGTAGGTGTAGGGGGGAGTCTCAGATCGTGATGGGGGAGGGGGGGTGGGAGCCTCAAAATGGCGCCGCTCAAACACATTACGCAAACATACAATATTATCGCAAGCTAAGTGCAGGAAACTACACCATTAATCACCATCAATCACCATCATCAATCACCATCATCACCACCAGCCAGTACTGACACACTAAAGACAGCACCA